CAGAAATCTGCAGGAAGCAAAGCTGCATCTCTGAGCCCACCATCCTGCTCACCATAAAAGTGGAATCTGAGTCTGAAAGCTACTGAGGAGATGGAATCAGATTGCATTTCTGCATTGCCTTCAGACAGTAGCCTTCAAAAAGGAGGAAATACATCTGCTCATAGCAGCAGCTAATAATACCAGAAAAAATATTTAGGTGGCAAAAAATAGAGAGGGAGAGGAAATAAATTGCTGTTTCTTTCCTAAAATTAAAAAATTGCAGTTTCTTCCCTTCCCTGTTTTGGGGGATTTTGCTTCTTACCCATTACAAATTTGAAAAAGCACTTTGGCAGACAGGAAATCAATAAAAACTTGACAAAAGTCACTGCTTTTGGTATAAAAATTGATGGAAAGTATTGATGAAACCTCAGACCTAAAGTGCTCACTGGATTCTAGTTTGGCACCTATGAGAATTCTTTATTCTCTGTTGTGTTGAGCAATGTTAAGTCTGGACAACTGGACCTGGAGGTTATGAATCTCCTGTCCCTCGGGCAGTACCAAGCAAAGGAATGCAGAACTTAAGGGAGGCAAAAGCTTTCAGCTGAGTCAAGCTCACAGGAATTAGGAAGAATTAAGGCTCCCTGTGTATCCTGCACCTGGGATGCACTGAGGATGGCTCAGTGCATGGATAATGGCTAAGCCTTTCCCTTTTACACTTCTCATTCCACATGGCCCTGTGCCACATTCCCGGGACCCCAGCCAAGCTCTGCTCAAGTATGGCATGATTAATTTTTTGTGTGTGTGGTGCTCATCACTAATCTGCTGGTGCTTTGTAGCACCATTGAATATCTTCTGCATTTTACCTCGTCACAGGAAACTGGGGCACAGGGAGATTAAGGTCGAAATGGACAGGGAAATCACAGTGTCCAACTTGACACATCCAGGATCCTTAGCACAGCAGTCCCAGTTCAGCAGAAGTTTGTGCATTCAGTGTCTGGAGGCTTTGGTTACAGCTGTGAGAGCAAAACACTTCTCCAGATCACAGCCTAGGTGTTCCCCATGAGCTTATGAAAAGCACAGGAAGAATGGGCAGTGGGAGACCCTGGGTTTGAATGACTTGCACAGCTTCATGGAAGATCCCTGTTTAACAGGAGATTTAACAATAACAGATCTTGCTTGCTTTTAACATGACACTTCTTGTAGCCCTTGCCTTATTCTCTCATGGCTTTCGTTTTCTGTAGTGGGCACAGCGAAGATATTACAGGGCAGAGTTGCACACAGGTGAGAAGAAGTCAGTGGGGGAGGTTTATACACACACATACATGAAATATTGTGGGGAATGTAACTGAAGACTGTGCTGCAATGCACAGACATAAGGGCAGAAGCAACCCAGCCATTTCATGGGCATTGCCTCCCTTTGGAGTGCTTAGAAACCCAATTTTTCTTTTCCACAGCCTTTTCTTAAGACAGAACCAGACACTTGGGAAAAGAGCCTTTAAACCATTATCATTTTATTAATGTTGTTTTTCATGTTCCTTCACCTGCAAGGCCTCTGCTTTGGTTATCATGAGTCCAGCTGTGCAGTCACAGGGAGCCATTAAAGCTTCTGAAATGACCTAAAATAACACCTTGAATTGAAAAGCATCAAAACTTTCAAAGTCCATTATCACAGCATCAGGCTGGTGCTGCAATGTCCAAGCCAAGACTCATGTGCACTTTCTCCCTGGAAGAAGGGAAATCCCTCATTTTCAAGGGTACAGAGCTCATCATTCTAGCCCTGAAAGGAAATCCTGACACATCCTGCAGCACATTTGTGGGCAGGGAAGTGTACAGTGGCAAGAGTGAAAGTTTTCATGTCTTCAAGACCTTTCAGGAGAGAGGAGGTAGAAATCTCAAACTGCTCCTTGGAAAGGAGAGAAGAGTTCTCTGATTTAACCTAAAACCCCAGAATGATCAGTACCACAGGATGGCAGCTTGCAGATGCCCAGGAACCAATGTTTGGGACAAGGGTAAATCACAGCCAGAGTCAGATGTGAAAAGTAAATGGTTGGTGCTCAGTAGTCAAAAGGCTATGTGGGATAAGGGGAGGAAATGTTTCATCACAAGGACAGCAAAGTTAGCACGAATGTTAATCACTAGGAGCTCTAATTAAGTCCATGGCAACTTTCTCTCCCAGGGTTTCATCCTGAGAAATAAGTTGATAGCAACCAATAATTTATTGGCAGGCTCTACAGAGATAAATCAGTGTATTAATTACAGAGGACCAAGAAAAATGGACTCATGACCTTTTCTTCTTGCTGTTGTTTTGGGGTTTTTTTTGTTGTTGTTTTTTGTTATTTTAAGGGGAAAGCATTTTTATCCTGAACAGGTAATACCTGAAATAGCAATCATGTGAAGACAGTGCTTCAACGTTGTACTCTTCAGCTCTTTTTTTGCCAATAGCTGAATCATTACAGAGGAGATTCAGAATTGGAAACAATCCACTTTTATATCTTAGAAGAAGCATTTTGTATTTAAAGTAATGTCCTTCTAAGAACACATCACAGAAGCACATTCTGCTTCTGTGCTTTTTTGGCTAATCCTGGATTTTTACCCCAAAATCATCCTTGCAGGCATGCTCTGAGGAAATCTGTGAGAGACACAAGGACTGCACAGGCTCACAGGCCCTTCCTGGGTACAGTCTGCAATACACTTAAAAAATCCTGCTCTTGACTCCAGGGTTCCATTTTTTGTGGAGTCTTTGGACTACTTTAACCAGCAATAAATCCTCGGCACCATAGGAAACTCAGAAATAAATACTATCCTAGTAGCAGAAAGGGATATTTTCTCGGGCAGGAGTAGATAATAGTCTGGATTAAGTCTGATAGAAGCCCCAAACAGCATGACATCTCCCCTTGCACCCCAAAGGTCCCAAACACAGCACAGGGGAACTGGGGGAGTGTGACAGGACCAGCAGCAATAACCCCCACTCTTCTGGAGCCATGGCCACGCCTGGGAGACGAGAGGAGAGCAGCACCCTGCTGGAGAATGGAGCCATTTTCTGCATCAGAGATGTTTTTCAGGCTTCCTGCAGACTCCAAGACATGAATTGCTCCATGGGCTGTGGTCTGACCGGGTTTCCAGGCTTTCTGGGGGATTCCAAAGTGAAGAAATGTTCTTTGCTGAAGAAAGGCAAGCTAACAGTCCCTGGTCCTGTGACTCAGGGGTCTGGGGCTCTAGTTCTGATGATGGCTCTTTTTTCTCTTTGGATGATGAATATTTTTGTCCTTCCACAGGTGGTAGCACACACATGTGGGAAGCAGACAGGAAAGCTGCCCTGGGGAGCAGACCTCAGTCATCACAGGTGCCTCTGGCAAAGTGAGATACTTCATTTTCCTCCCCAGAGGTGGTACAGGTTATTCCCATATCTGACACCTCTTCTGGACCCTTCTCCATGTAAGAATCATGCCAGTTTTGGAGCCCCTTCTGAAATCAGCAGGAGCTACAGAAAAAAACCTTCCCCAGAGCTAAAAATCCCCTGTGTTCACCACATTTTATGTTACAGGGATACCTCTGAGAGCCTGGGAATTGTGCTAGAAAATCTCAACACTTTCTGACAGCTGAAGGATGGACACAAGTGGGTGACATTCCATTGTCCTGGAACTTATGCACCTAAAAACCCAATCAGCAGAAAAGGTGTTAAACACAGAATTTGTTTCTAATGCTGGCAATCTAAGTTAAGTGTTTTATAAGTCAGGGGGAATAGATTTATAATAACAGTGATACCGTTAAGAACAAGTTGTTGGGATTTCTTTCCAATTTTAAACTTTTTTATATACACTTGTTTATAAAAATTATCTTTGAGAAGGAAATTACTTGCATCAGAGTTTACCTTAATTGCAATTTTATTATTTTTTTTTTTCAGAAATTGTCATTAGAGCTCAGCATGGGGCTAATTTTGAGTTGAAACATACTTGCTAGAACTTGTGTTACTGGAAAGCCAGAAAGTTTAGCTGTCCAAGTTTAGGATGAGTGGTGGCTGGCTGGCTGCTTTTTCTTTTTTAGATTAATTCAGTGTGAGTTTTCATATTGATTTTCACAGGAGCAGAAAGAAGCCCTTAAATTGCTATGTTTATAATAGTGACTCTTCAGGGAAGTTAAAAAAGACTTAGCATGGAATTGCCTCTTTTTAGTGCAGTTAATCTCAACCTATCACCTCACTGGCAATGTTTTCTCACATTAAGTTTTATTAGGATTTGCTGCTGGCTCTGCAGAAAATCACAACATAGAGGCAGAATCTGCTGACACAGAGACCTTTCATAACAAGTCACACAGCTGCTACTCCAGCACTTCTTTGGAAAGCAGGAACATCTTATGTGACTAATTGATTAGCATGGAAAAGGTGTCCCTAATTTGCTGTTCTGTCGGATACACAGGGTAACACCACTCTTCACTAACAGAAACTGGCCCAGCAAATGAGATCCTGTTTAAAATGCTGTTCAGCCTGAGTTAAGTATTGAAGGAAACTAAATTCTGCTCCGTGGGAAGGAAGGATGTGCCAGGACATTGACCAAGCAACTTACAAAAAAAACCCCAAAAACCAAGCAAACAAAAAACCAACAAAAAAAAATAATAATAATAAAAAAACCAACCACCAAACAACTTTCTAGGTGCTCTGGTTCCTTCCCCTGTGGTTACAAATGTGCCAGGAGGGAAAACACACTTCTCTGTTTATAGTGGGTGACCTTGTACGCCTGCAGCACATCTGGACCGTAGAAAAACTCTCAGGTTGAGGTGTCCCTCAGAGTCAAGCCCCTGATTAACTGGATCCAACCCTCCCTCCAAACAACTTCTTGCTGGATAAAAATGAGCCAAGCTCATCTTGCCTTTTTTTTTTTTTAATGACAGGTGTTTAAAGAGGGCTCAGGGAAAGGAGTTACTGTGTGCCACTGATCCGTCAGAATTTCTATTCTCTCACAGTGGGGGAAAAAGAGTGGCTGAGAGTATCCCAGGCAAAAACTCTGCAACTGCTGGAGGTTGATAATTTCTTTATTTCAAAATCCTAACTTTTACTTTACTTTTGAAGAAGTTGTTAGGTGGTGTAAAACTCATTTTAACATAAGGCAGGTAATAAAATCAACTTATTGAAACACAGAACATCTGAACATTTGGGACAAAAATTTGTTTTGACACTGCTTTATGAAAGCAGGTCACAGCTCTATCACCTGACTATTTAACATTGAATTCCTTAATCGATCACCATGTTTCCAAATGCAGCTCAAGTTAACTACAGATTGTAGAAATCACTTCACCTAAAACAGTTTTCCAGCTGCTGGGGTGTGACAGGAGTGCAGAGCAGGCTACAGTTTTCCACTTCATGTGTGGAGAGAGAAAGTTTGCTCCTACAGTCAGTTCTGTGAATACTAAACATAAACATAAACATAAACATAAACATAAACATAAACATAAATATAAATATAAATATAAATATAAATATAAATATAAATAAACGTGTATATGAATAATGCCATGCACAGGAGTATGAGTGGTTGTATCTCTGTAATAAATATTACTTTCATTTCCAAAGACCAAAATTTGTGCCTGCACTGTAGCTCCTCCCCGAAGTCCTTTGCATTCACTAATCAAATAATTCAGGGCAAGAATTTCTCCAAAATTAAGGGCAGCAGTTGAATGTGCACTGCTGAATCTCATTTCCATCAGAAAGATATAATTGCAGGCTTACGTTAATTTCTGGTTAGAAAACTGGGAATTATCAATACAAACAAATTTGTACCAGAAACACTTATATTTTTCAAGTGCTTTTTGAGCTGCAAATCATGCAAAAATCATCTGATTGTTAATTACATCTATCTCGCTTATCTTTGTCTCAAAATAGATACAGGCTAGACCTAAAGAAAAACAGTTTATACAGTTACTAAATCTTCTGGGGGGGAAGAAAAAAAAAAAACACAAAAAAACCCTACAGAATTCTGCATCTTTTATAGGGTACAAGATTGACATCCTGCTGTTTTCAATCAAACTACTCCGATTTTTCTCTGCTAGGAATAGAAATACACATTTAATACGCATAAACCTAATGCCCCCTGTTGGTTATATACAGCTTAAACCCTCGCCTGTGCACACGGGGACTCCTCATCTCCTATTGCTGACTAAAGCATCCCACGGAACATTTAAGGTTTTACATGGGCACAGAGATTAAGCTCCAGATCCACCTGAATTAATTTATCTCCTCCCTCACAGGCACAGAGCCACGTTCTGGTATTGAAGATATTTCTGTACCTACAAAGCCAGCCCATGCTATCAGAGTGCTCTGCAATATCCTGTCCTCAAGCACTGCACATGGAAATTGCAGAATAATGGAATCATAGAGTCATTAAGGTCGAAAAACACCTCTAAAATCCCTGAGCCCGGCTATTAAGCCAGCACTGCCAAGCCCACCATGAAAACATGTCCCCAGGTGCCACATTTACACATCTTTCAAGTCTCTCCAGGGATGGTGACTCCACCACTGCCCTGGGCAGCCTGTTCCAATGCTTGACACCTGTTCAGCAACAAAACTCTTCCTGATATCCAACCTAAACCTCCCCTGGCACAGCTTGAGGCCATTTCCACTTGTCCTATCACTTGTTACCTGGGAGGAGAGACCAGCTCCCACCTGGCTGCAGCCTCCTTTCAGGGAGCTGTAGAGAACAGCAAGGCTCCCCCTGAGTCTCCTGATCTCCTGATTAAACAACCAGCAGTTCTACAGCCTGGGCCTTCTGTGTCACCTGCTAGAAAAAGGCAAAATGCTAACTGTGGCTCAGGTGTTTAAAGCCAAAATTACTTGGGGTTTTTAGCTTTTCCACAACACATTTCACTGGTTTCTGAGAACTCCACACTGAAAACTAACAGCATCTCTATCTGGGTGTTTATTCTGTAGTCAGTTTAACCTAAATTTGGAATTGCCCTTCCTTGAAAAAAGTTTTAGGAACAATAAAACAAAAATACATAAAATTAAGTGAAGGGTTTTTTTACCAAAATTCCTTTGGCCAACAGCACTTTATCTGTTGAGTGAATGTTGAGCACAGTGCTTCACCTGGCTCTGCACAGCAGAAGATGCTGAGAGACTCCTGCTACCTGTGGTCTCAGGAGCAGTAATTGCCAATATCTTCAGAGGCAGGAATCACTCCTGGAGGAGCACAGGAGGCGGTTTGTACCCCTCTCTACCTTTGCCTTTCTGCAAGAACCTCTGCCAGCCACAGCTGAGCACTCCCTGCCCCTCCTACCCAGCAGACACATCCCCAGAGGAGATGCTGGACCAATCCTCCATAGCTGGCTGAGCACCTTGTCCCTCAGAAAGACAGCACTCAGCGTGGAAACAGAACCATTCCAGCAGGGAAAGACCTTTAAGGTTATGGGAGCAGCAAATAGCTCAGACCTGTGCAGCAGAGCAAAATGCAAAGATCATCCTCTTGTCCTCGCCTGGAAATAGCACCAGAATTGGAGGCACACAGCAGGAATGACCATCCCCTCACATTTCACTGCAAATGTCACCATTAAGGTTGTTACATTTGTGAGGATTCCTGTGTCACCCACTCTTGTCTGAGCCTGTGATGTAATAGATCAGGGTTCCTCAGAGAGGAGAAAGCAGGGTTGGGTACCTGCCCCAGCCTGCTCCTAGGGACACATCTGGTGTCCACCCACAGATGGAGAAACTGTTCAGAGCTAAGTGACTGTCAGTGTTACAGCATCACAGAATGGTTTGGGTTGGAAGGGACCTTAAAGATCATCTATTCCCAATCCCCTGCCATGAGCAGAGACACCTTCCACCAGACCAGGTTGCTCCAAGTCCCACCCAACCTGGCCTTGAACATTTCCAGGGATGGGGCAGCCACAGCTGCTCTGGGCAGCCTGAGCCAGGGCCTCGCCACCCTCACAGTTCAGACATTAAAAGCATGACAGTGAAATCAGGGTTAGGAGCAAGAGGGGCAAACTGAACTCTGTATGAAAAGACAGAGCACTGAAATGCAGGGGAACACGAGGAGATATTTTGTGACTGTCAAATGAACCTCATCTCCCTCAGCCACACCAGGCTCAGCCAAAATAACAAGTGTCACTGGCAAAACCAGGCTTATTTGTCCAATTTTTATTATTTCTCCCAGGCAGAGCTAATCCAACCACCTGGAATCCTCCTGAAATCAGGAGGCAGCTGGGGCAGGTGTGGATATTGCACCCCAGGAGCCAAGATTTGGGGTGCCACACCCCCAGTCACCTCAGTTGTCTCTGGATGTGGCCAAACCTAAATTTCATACCCCAAGTCTCCCAGTTCCCCTTCTCTGGCACAGCTGAGCTGAGCCAGAACTGTAAGTTATAAAACATCCCCATTCCTTAATTGCAGCAGCACATGGAGAAAAACAGCTGAAATTACAGGATAAAACAGAGGCAAAGGAGAACCAAGCTGTAATCTTTTCTTTGAATCAAATCCAGCAGAGCCTGCAACAATTTTCCAATATGCAGTTGCTCCTTCAACAAAAGCAAATGCAATTTCCTCTCTGCCCTTAATTTGAAAACATTCCACATTTGATGATTTTTTGGATATTCATTAATGAAATATAAACCCTGTCGGTAGTTAGGCAACAAAACTCCTTTGCTGCTTTTGTCATAAAATATCTTTACTGAGCCACTCTTGAACCAGCATTATTTGGATGGAATTAAAATGTTATTTCAGGTCCTTTGATAGACATTTGGGGATATTTTTGCTCTTCTAGCACTCCCCCCTCCTGTCTTTTTTAAAATAAATTCAAGAAATCTTATCAGTGATTAGGAGAGAGGGGAGACACTGCAAAGAGTATCTGGATTTATGTGTTAAAGTGGTTTTTTGCAATCCAGTCTCACTTTATTCCATGCTGGGTAACCTGATGCTTATCCTCACATGTAGTTCTTTGTGACCTCCAAGGCCATGAAGATAAGAAGAGCAAAGCTTTTAAAATAATGCAGTGTCATATCTCTGAAATATTCCTGTAAATCTGCCTTTGAGGCTGAAGGGAGGGAAGGAGTATCCAGCTGAATGAAAGCTTTAAAAAACACATGTGATACACTACAAATCTGTGTAACCACTCGAGGAAACTGGAAGAAAAGAAGCAAAGAAACACCTGCAAAACAGTGCTGAAAATGGCACGTGATGCAAGAAAATTATAAACTCTTGCAGCCTTTAAGGAAATCAAGTGAAATGCAAAATGCTCAATGTTGGCTTGGCTTGCTCTCTGCTTGATTTGAATTCCAAGCTCTGATGTACAAAAAGCTTTGTCTCCACACAAGGTTTTGAAGTCCTGCAGGACTGCCTGCCTGGATGTTTTGCTTTGAAGCTGTCTAAAGCTTCCCTCGTCATCACTGTTTCACATTAAAATATACATTCTCCATTGCAGGACTTAGCAAATAGATTTTCATCTGTTCCTTCCCCTTCCTCTCCCTTGCTCCATCAGATTGTTTTCTTCAGGCTCCAAGTATATGCAGATTTAATGGGAAGATCTTTTAAAAAATAATGCTTTCCTTAGAGAAAACAATAAGTTAAAAGCCATTTGTTGTCTCAAGCTGTCAGATTTTTGCCAACAAAACCAGAAAACATAATATGATCAGAATTATCTATGCTGTAAAGCAAAATTGCCTGCCTCTTCTAAACCATTCTTTTGTCCTGGTTACATCAATTCCTGACACCAAAGTGTTTCCATGATTTCAGCCTCCTTCCAGGTGATGCCCAAGCCCAGTCCCATGAGTTGAAGACAATCATATGCACTTGATGGTTCAAATCACAGGAGCTCTGCAGATTCCCTGTGCTCTGCATTTAAGGTCAGTGCTGGGTCCTTTGCCAAGCTCCATTGGCTCCCACATCCCCCCCACTCACACTGAGTGTGCCTTTCCCTCCTTTTGCAGCCTTTTATTTCTCCCTCCACTTCATGCTTCTACTCACCATTCTCCTTTTTCCCCCTTTTCATGACCCTGATCTTAAACTCCTCTCCTTGCACTTGCCTCCTCCTCCTGCCTCTTCCAAAGGTGGCAGAGATGCAGAATGGATAAACACAATGGATTCAGAGAGCATCACTGCAATGGAGTGAACCACCAAACACACCCAAGGATATCATGTCTTTGCAAAGGGAAAAGAACACTCTCCTCTTTCATGCTCCATATAATGAGTAATGGTGATCAGGATCTGAAGATGATCTTTACCCATTGCCAATTTTAAGAAGGTTTCAGGCAAAGCATTGTGTATTTAAGAAATGTGAATATACTGTGGTTTTCAAGCAGACAGAGGAACACCCTTAAAAGAGATTTAAACAATTTGATCAGCAGCATGAGCAGGTCTGTCTCCAGTTACTCTGTTGTCTTTGCCTAGGAGGCTGAAATACACCTTTTAATTGGAAGTTAAACAACACAATTCTGCTTTTAATGAATAAGATTTACTATCCTATATTGTGCAGTCTGAACAGAGACTCGGTGTAGAGAATATTGCCTGAAATTCTTTTTATTCAAATCTTCTGTGGTTTTCTTAGTCCACCTACTAGTTTATTTCTCAAATCCAGGAGGTTCAGGTTGCCCTTCTGTCCTGAATCCTGTTTCAGCCCTATAAGTCACAGAATCACAGAATGGGTTGGGTTGGAAGGGACCTTAAAGATAATCTCAGTCCAACCTCCTGCCATGGACAGGGACAACTTCTACCAGACCAGGCTGTTCAAAACCCCGTCCAAACTGGCCTTGAACAATTCCAGGGATGAGGCAGCCACAGCTTCTCTGTGCAGCCTGTGGCAGGGGTTCACCACCCTCAGAGGGAAGAATTTAATATAAAATAGAAATCTATCTTCCTTCATCTTAAAGCCATTCTCCCTTGTCCTTCTCCCCACGTGATCTAATCCCCCTCCATCCCCTCTGTGCTCTGCATGCAGGAGCTCTGTGTCACACACCTCCCCCAGAGCATCACCCCTGCCAATCCCACTCCCCAGCTCTCCTGTATAACCTGAGATCCCTCTGGAAGTGAAATGACCCAACCCCTCACAGTGTTTACATCTATCCAGCAGCTCTTGGTGGAAATCATTTCAGCAGCTCTGGTTTATATCCTTTTGAGGTTTCTTAAACTGCTGCCCAGCTCTGATTAACTTGTCAAGCCCCTGGACTTTCTGTATTACTCCCTATTCCCTTGTTAACACAGCTTCCATAATGTTCCTGGCTTTCCACAGCTGCTTTGCATTGTGGAGGCATTTTCCCCAGGTTCACAGGGATACCTAAAGCTGTTCTTTTCCAGTAGCTCAGACCCTGTGTGCAAGAGTGACTCTGGTCTACTCTGATTTTCAATTTCCTCCAGTTTTCTTAGCTAAGAGTATCTTAACTGGCAGATTTTGAGGAATTAATATGAATCTGGAGCAAAAGTAAATGTTGCTGGAAATTCACCAAGCTCCAAGGCATGTGAGGTCTTCCACATTCCTGCAGGACATCTCATATTTCTTCATGTTATCCAGGCTCTGAGGGACCAGCACGTCAAACACAGCATGCAATTCTGCCTGGGCCATCAGAGGTAGAAGCTGAGTCCTGCTTCCTTCTGGGCAGATTTCTATATAAGAACACAGAAGACCTTAATGGATAATAGAAAAATTGGTAAATTTTCTTGGAGACTGCTGGTGAAAAATAGGCATAGCCTTATGTTACATCCTTCTGGGATTCCTCAAGCAGCTGCCCGGTTCAAATTAACTGAAGACATTTGTTAAGGCAATGTGTCCTCTTAATTTGTAGTTTCCATTTTTGAAAGGTGTTTTGATTAAATGGTTTTTCACTTATCAAACTTGAAGTCTTGAGTATAAAATTTAGGGGGAAAAAAACCAAAAATAAAACAAAACCCAAGGGGAATGATGTATAGGTTTATTTTTGACAGCTGGGATATTTTCCAGGCAAATGCACCCCTCCAGGTGCATCAGTGTGACCAGAGTTAATCCAAATGACATCAGGTGAGGGCAAGAGGTACTCAGCACAGCTAAACCACTGGGAATCTGCCTTTTCTTCTCTAACACACAGCTCAGCACTTCTTTAACCAAATTAAAGCTGTTGGAGAGCTCCCCTTTTGTCCTGACACTGGCTGTACCAAGGGGCTGGAGAAGTCACAGCTGAAGGTCACAGCATCTTGGGGGTCCAGTGATTATTTCTAGTATAAAGTTCTCCAAAATCTCTACATCCAGATGACCCCATGTAATTACTGCACTGGCCTTATTAACCTTATTAACCACTTATTGAAACTTTCCACTGGACTGCCTCTACCTTGTGTTTCTTTCACACTTCCCTGGTCCAAACACTGTGGATGCCAAAATGACTGGGACTGAGGAGAAGAATATGAGGTTGTTTCTGATTCCCTGGCAGCAGTGAAAAATTATAATTTGAGTAATCTGATTAAATCAGGTACATGAAACTAACCCATTGTTTTTCCTGCCTTTGAGAGCAGCTCTCACAAAGAATTTCATCGAGAGAAAGTCAAGCCACAAATGAGCTCATATGACCAGAGTGAACCACAAATAGTTTGCTGCTCTGATTGTTGTTTAATGAAGTTTGTATTAAGCTTTTAAGGGATTTTCATGAGGTTTTGTTGCACGTCTTTTTAATTTTTAGTGGTTACTTTCAAAAAGTCACAGTTTCCAGAGCTACCTGGGGTGCACCCAACTGCAGCACCTTTCTGTTTCAATAGACTCTTTTTTTGTTTGTTTCATATGCAAACTTTGCAATGTAGATCACCATATCAACAAGCTGGTTTATTTTCTGCTGTGGTATTCAGACAAAGTGGCTCCAAAAGTCAGGTGTGTTTCTGCTGAGAAACAACAGAATTTGAGACAATAAAATTTGTGTGGTTTCATGACGCAGAATAAAAACATGAGGACAAAAACCTGAGATAGTGCTGCAGATAAAAGAGCCTTTGTTCTGTTTCCAGCACTGACTGGGGACAGGTGTATGGGAAGGGACACAAGCACCTGGCAGCTGTGTGACGGTACAGTCCACGCTTACTCTCCAAAATGGGTATTTTGCACTCCAGGAGTTTCCTAAGCCAGAGGTGTTTCCTTCGTATTTAACATTGGTTCTTCCTCCATGAGTTCATCTAGCTGCTCTTTGAACACTGAGACAAATATCTGAACCAAAAGTTCTGGGTTTTTGTTTGTTTATAATAGGAAATCTGAGGGCAGCAGCTGCCATCACAACTGATTCTGAGAAAAACTCATACAAAAATATAATAAACCTCACAAAGGTTTATTATTCAACAAGGCCAAATGCAACATCCTGCACATAGGCCAGGGCAGTCTGAGGGAAGGTTTAGATTAGGAATAAATTATTGATTGTGAGGTGCTGAGGCTCTGGTACAGGGTGCCCAGAGAAGCTGTGGATGCTCCATCCCTGGCAGTTTTCAAGGCCAGGCTGGATGGGGCTTGGAGCAACCTGGGATAGGGGAAGGTGTCCTTGTCCATGGCAGGAGATGGAACAAGATGGTCTTTAAAGTCCCTTCCAACCCAAACCAGTCTGTGATTCTTTATTCATGGACTTGGCTTCCAGGTAAACAAAAACAAAATGAACAGCCCTAAACAACAAGCTTTTCTCAAAGAGCTAACTTTTACATGTATAAATGACAAGTTGTGCATAGCAAGATAATTTTTTGTAGCTCCACTGGTAATTTCCAATAAATCCTTGAGCTTACTAGGGAAATAAATACTCAAAAATATACCCACCCCAACTGAAAATTCTAATTGCAGACAGTATTTGCTTTTTTTAGCTTCAACAACAACAACAAAAGTATCCTATTTCAATCATCCCTACCAAGTTCTGTTTCAGAAGACAAAAATATCCCATAGAAATGAAGGTTGTCAGAGATAATGTCACTTCATGGGTTTTGATCTTTATTCACTGTTTGCAAAACACATTTTCCCAAAATGAATTAATTTGGTGTAGTTCCCTAAGAGCCAGGTAATCCCCAACTCCTGACTCCTCCTGGGAGAGCCACTTTAACACTGAAATACAGTGAAAGAGCCAAGGACAGCTGAGCAGCTGCCATTGCTGGGGCCTACATTTCTTACATCACAAATGGAACTCAGCCCAAACAAAGCTGATTTGTGCCTGTAAACTCCTCTTTCCAATTGTCTTCCCCTGCCAGAAACCAACTGACCAAAAAAATCTGCATGGGGCATATTTTCTACGGCATGTACTCAACCACAGAAGCGTATTTCTGTGGGAACATCACTGTTTTATAGATGTGCTGGTGCTGCCACGAGCTTTGCTCATTGCTGCTTCCAGAAGCTTCTGGCCAGAGCCAGGCACAGCTTTTCCTCCCTGAGCACTCACAGCTAGCCACAGACACGGTGTGGGGCACATCCTTTCCAGCCTGTGCAGTGTTTACTTGTGCAAATGTGAGACTTCTGAAGGGATAAACAACTGGTTTCCCAATTTGTATAACTCCAAGCCTTTGCACAGATGCATCCTTTACATCATCTTTCAAATGAATTGGCAGATCTTGAAGGAAAAGGATGCTTTTGGCACCTCTGAATCACAATGAAATACATCTCTGATAGACATGCATCTTTCTGCTGACTTTAAAGATGGTTGCAGTTTATTCTTTGATCACACACTCAGTGCAGGCACAGGCTTGAGATAAGAGTTTTCATATCAGTTCCACATAAGGAAAGAGGCCACCCAGAAGGGCCAGATGAACTTTGGACCCTGATTTTGAAGAACAGATGCTTTTTAAATTTTATATTATTATATTGTATTGTTGTATCATGTTATACTTTGTGTTACCTTATGTAATGTTATACACTAACACAGGAAGATTTATAGACTCAAATTTTACTCTCAGCTCCCCGAAATCTCTGTTTGTTAAAGGATGGAGCATGTACCTAACATTTCAATGAAGCTGTTTCTCTTCCTATTACAATAATGCTGCATTCTTATTCAATGCTTTCTTTAAACTCTCTATTGAGTTAGAGGAGCTGTCATTGTTTAAAAGACATGAGATTATTGGTTCTGCTTGTGAAGGAAGACACACTGAGGGATTAATTGCTTTCATTATGCAATAAGCTGTCTGTTCTCATCTAACTGCTGCTGCCTTTGCTCCTACAGGACCTGTACCCCTTAGTTTTGGCAAGTAGGAATTGCCACCAGGCTTCTGTTACCTTAATACTCTCTTTCTTTTTAATTTTTTCATCTTTTGTTGAGGTTCACTCATACAGTCTCTCGGAAAACTTCTGATCACCTAAGGGGCTGCTGTTCACTCAAAAGTCCTTCTCTTGCTGAGTCTGTGGCCAGCAGCCTTTTCACATGTCCCTCTGCAGTGTTTGATCCATGCCAGGAGGTGACAGAACAACATCTGGCACTTTGCAGGGTTCAGTGGATAACACTTGACCTCAGTTTCCCCAGGGCTCACAGCTGAGGAAGACATCAATGCCAATGTCCCAAGAGAGCCTTTCCTGAGGTCAAGGAGGACAGAAATAGTGACTTCCACTAGCTATGGCATGGAAACCTGCTCCAGACTTCAGCAGAAGGGTAGACAAGATGCCCAGAAATGGTGAGATTTGGGGAATTTTCAGGCAATTTTCTGCTGTTCTCCAAAATTATCTTTTTGTAGTTTTATTTTCTGTGGAATGTTTCTATCACAAACCCTCACTTAAGCACCCAGATTAGGGAATAAGTTACACCCCTTGTCTAGTTAATATAGGCAATACAACTGCTCACCACTGCAACTGAAGATTTTACCTATACAGACATAATTCTATTTCACGGCATTTGAAAACTGCCAGGGGAAAAAGATAAGCAAGCATATATCACAGGATGTGAGAAAAAAAATCACACATTTCCTCCAAACTGCCTGTTGGGAAGGGTATTGCACCTCATTATCTTCCTAAGGTAATTTTTTTTTTTTTTTAAAAAAAGTCTTGCCACACAGCCACAATGGAGCTGTCAATGCAGTTTTACACAGATCCCCAGTAGGTGTGAGACAGTGTGATCTCCAAAACTCTGTTTGTGTTCATGGAGGATTTGGCCTAAGGTGTTAAAATCTTTACTGCAGACAGATTCATAGATCTATTATAATTACATTTTATCTACTGATCCAACCTCTGACTGTTCCTAGTGCCTTAATTACTAAACTTGGATTTCTTCCAGGAAGAGATAAACACCAGTAGACAGATGGGGAGAAAAAAAAAAAGGATAATTTAACATTTCCCTGAAGAAACAACACAGAAGAAAACATTTAACAATAACCAAAACTGAGAACAGATTAAGATGTTCAGTAGTCATTGTTCATGAACAAAATCAGACACACTAGAAAGGGGCACAAGCCGTGTCACAGCTTCATGTACCCAGCTGGTCCCTGGTGATCACCCACCAAGGTTCCTCTTGCCCATCAAATTACCCTTTTTACTGGACTTTTGGCACTATTTACATGGATTATTCAAAGGTACAACACACCACTGAGAAAATTTTCTTGTTATTCCACATGAGGCTTTACTTTCTGATCATCACAACTTTGGCTCTGTGACCTGTTGGCTGCAGTTCTGTGATGCCACAGGAGTTCACCACTTTCCTTGCCATAATTTGTTCTGTTTTTCAGCTGGGGATAGAAATTAAACTAGAGGTAACACACAGGTAATTCATATTAATCATCACAACTTCTCAATGCTGCAGAGGGCCATGAGAAGCTTTCCTATGAGTCAAGAGGGCAAAAAAGCATGAAAGAATTTTGGAAGGCAGAGTTCCCACAGAACCCTTCTATCAGTTCTAGGGTGTCTGGGATGAGCAAGAGCTCCAGGAGATCTGTTCCAAGTCCCTTCCTGGATGTGTACCCCACACACACCTGCTGCTGCCTGTTGGAGAAGAGCTTTCCATAAAGACCTCACGTGCACACACTCAGAAAAACCCCACCTGAGCAAAACACTGCTCTGCCCACACTTTTCCTACCCAAAGAGAAGCCAAGAGTACAATCTAAACACACACAGGAGCTGGTTTATTTGCTGTGCTGTCACAAGGTGCTCAGAGGAGGGAAGGACATGTCAAGCTTGCAGACACTGTGATGGCTGCTTCAAGATGTGGTGTGGGATATCTTCCAGCTGGTGGCTTTCAGTTTGCTGACAAAGGCCTGCAGATTCATTTTTAAGGGGTCACAAAAAGTAGGAAGAATAAAAGACTAACATCAGAGCATTTAAATGCACTTTTACAGAAAATAATAGAGGTGCCTGTCTGTAAAAACTGCTGAAAAAAACTGTTCTTGAAAAACAATGTGGGAGTGTTCCCTGTCCCCATATCAAACCCCTGCTACCAAATCCCAGACTCGGTATAAAGAAGGAAGGAAGATGAGTGTGTCTTGCTCTGCAATCTCATCTCTTCTGCTTGCCTGCCCTCACTTCCCAGGGGGATGAACCATCCAAACTCAGCTGGAGCAAGTTCAGCCTGAGTCTTTCCAAGCCCCCAGACACCAGCCAAGAGCTCCGTGTGCATGTGGGAGACAGGGACTGAGAGAGGAAAATGCCCCTGTACGGTCACAGGTGGACAGGCAGTGTCCACAGCTCCATTCAGGGTAGGATTTGGTTCTTAGAAGAGTTGCCAAATCCCACGCAGGGCAGAGATTTCACTTCTCACATGATCATTCCTTCAGTGTGGAGCAATTAACCAAATCTGGAGCCCATCCCTGCACAGCACCCAAAATTGCCTCTTCCTGTCTTAATTTGGATGCTCATTTTTCTATCCCTGCTGTACAGTATAAAACCATAAATCACATTTCCTGGAAGAGCAGAGGAAAATGCATACCTTGCTCATCATACAGGACAAGACAGACATCATTTAAATACAGATGTTCTGAAGATGATGCAACTGAGACATTTTTTCAGAAAATCAAACTTAGCTCTAAAACCATCTGGAACTTGAAAATGAGTACAGATTTCCCAGTTACATCATTAGAGTTTCAAAAATAGTCCATTACATCAGATACAAACTAATTTACCTGCATTATTAGTCTTCATTAGTTGTATTGCTAATCCTCTCAGGAGACTCAGCTGTGAACAGCAACCACCTTGAGCAAGGCTAAGTGCAAATAACATCAACAATTATCTTTTTACCTGTTTTTGACATTTATACAATTTGTGCCAAACTCATCCCAAGAGCAATATAAAAATGACACCCTGGGTCAGTTCAGTCCCCTCCCCTCAAATCTTCAGTCAATACTCATTTATTTCCTTAGACAGATTTCCTATTTCCCCTAATTAAGCATATTCTGTCTCAGACACCACATATTAAATATTATTTAACATTTAAATATATCCTATAATTTCAATTTTTTCTCCATCCAGCTGTCTCTCTTGGTTTTTGCAGTACCATCAGCTCTTTCCAAGAGAGCAGAAATTATTCAAAACCTTAATCCTAGCAAACATCTTGCTGCCTGCCTTCAGGAGGTATCTAATGAATTTCCATTCCCTGGCAAAGGAGAAAGCCTCAGCTTTCACCTACATGTTTGTAGGTTATTGTGGAAAACTGTGCATTTCTTTGTCTCCCCAAAGCCAGAGAAATCTCCTGTGGCCTCAGCAGATTGTCACTGCTATGTCCTCTGTACCTTCAGAGCCAGCTTGAGGGCCAGCAACTTGCCAGCCTGAATTAGGGATGGCCTGACTGCTCAAACATCACTTAACTAGGTTTTATTTAAAAAGATAACTCCATGAGATAGGGTAAACCAGCCAATTAACCAGGAGAAAGAGAAATGTGTACATTTTCCTCACATCCCTTTCACTGACTTAGGATGTGGGCCCAGATTCTCTACCATTTTGAAAAGGTTACACATATTCCAGATTTTTCAACACTCTGTTTCACAAAGTGTAATTTGCTCAGTCTCTGCTTTTCCTGGATGGTCAGTGTCAATTCATCATCTTCAAGTAATTCTCATGGTTGATTTCTGCTATTTATTTATTTAATGTTTCATATTAACAGGGACAGAGGCTCTCTTGAGTTGCTTTAGAAGTGTTGCACCACTAAGTCAGTGAGGTTATTACCAAAACAGAGGAGTGTTTGCACCAAAGGCTGTTCAACACCTCCAAGATATTCCTAAATACCCAGCCAGTGCCACTGGGGTAATGTTGTTGTCACCACCCACTTTCACCTCACTTTTATTTAGATGTAGTCTTAAGATTCAAGATGGCGTTTACTTAGTCAGGGCCATTTTATTAGCCACAAAAGACAGAAAAAAGTGATTGTGTTTGTCTTGTGAGATGTCACCCCAGCTATGGATTGTTACAAGTTAGAGCAGGTCTTGCTGTGACCACAGTCCTTCCCAACCATGGGGCCCCACAGGTCTCTCCCCTCCCAGGGAACACCAGAACACGAGCACTGGAGCCCTGATCTCACTGACAGCAAAGGATTCATTTTGCTGAGCAACCCTTGGGTCACTTGCCCAGGAAGCAAAGTGAGTTTGCTTTGCATCTGATCTCAGCCATTTATTGCCCACCACTATGCTGACAGGTTTTTCTGAAGAACTCCCCTTCATACTTCTAGTGACCCTACAGCCAAATCTTCCACATTTGAAGTATTCTTTTAGGGAGAGAAGGGGTATACCTACATAAATGAGCTGCAGCCTGTCCTGTGAACTTCCCAGTGAATTGTCCCCAATTTTCTGTGGGCTTGGCTGCAGTTCCTGTTCATTATGTCTGCAGACACTTGACTGAGAGCTCTCTGTAATGGAAATATTTGGCAGCTGGGCTTTGTGACCATTTTTTCTGCTGACTTAATTTCTTCTTACCAAATACTGAAGGAATGAAGAAGAGAACAGTTTTAAATAATGAGGATATTTGAATTGGGAACATGATGCAGCTGGTTTAGTACTAAGAAAAAAGTAATAATTTTAAAATTATTTTTGTCACGTGGTAAAGAACTGCAGAAAGGCACTGGAAAAAGAAAGCTACTTGCCATCAGCAAAGGTGATGAAAACTCGTGGTGTGAAGGAAAGAACTCAGTGGTAGAACTCAAAGAGGGACCTGATTTGGCAATGCTCAGTATGAACCAGCGAGTGCCCAGGTGGCCAAAGGGGCCAGTGGCACCTGCCTGTACCAGCAGCAGCGTGACCAGCAGGACCAGGGAAGTGATCCCCTGTACTGGGCAGTGGTGAGGCCTCACTTCAAATCCTGCATTCATTCTTGGGCTAAAATATTCCCTCAGCCTCAGGAATTCAGTCAGCCCCTTGCTTCCTTCAGAGTGTTGACTTGTTTGGCCGTGCACAGGACCCACATTTCACAGCAAGGGGCTGAGGCTGAGACACAATCCTACACTGTAAAGAGAGAAGCCCAGGAACCACTGCAATACCATCACAACTCCTCCTTAGTGTCCAATAAAAAAATATTTCATGTGATGGTACACATCAAGAGTGTTTGAAACTGAAAGTCATTATGACAAAATGATGGGATTTCCCCAGATTTTCATTTTTCTAAGCTGTGAGGAACAGAAATTACAAACACAGATCCAAGATAGCAATGGTACACTTGGATTTAAGCATTTACAGGCTAAGGGAAATGATTAAGTTTTTAATGATAAAAATGTCTTCTGAATTCACTGTACTTTTGCCTTGTGTTGTGTTCTGAACAATAAAAACAATGCACTTGTCAGCAGCAAGAAGATAATAGTTTTCATAAGGGATGTTTGTGTCTAGCACAGCTTATTAAGAAAGTTTATATAAGCATCATGTCCCAGTACCTAATCCACCAAAATAGGTCAATCAAGCATTGCCAGAGAAAAAGAAACTTCTTTTTTTTAAAATAAATCATTTGGGAACTTATTTCAGCAGGGTTCTTTCATTTTTTTCCAGCACCAGGGATTAATGTGTATATGATAGAAGCTACATGTGTGACTTTGGCCTGTCAGTTCTTTCAGTTCATCAGTGCATTCAGGAAAAGGCAAGTTTGGCTTTTCCACACTGGGAGACGGACAGCAGTGCACCTCTGCCAAAATACCAACACATCACTAACAAAATATCTTTACCAGCAGCCAAATACACAAATGTTTGGATTCTGGTGATGCTCCAGCATGTGCAATTCTTGTCTGGCAGATGCTTTTCTCCCTCAGCCTGTCCTGACTGAGCCACCACTGCTGCTACCCACCCTCTGAAAGGTGGGGTGCTGCTGGCACAGCCTTTCCCTGCTGCCTTGTTATCTCTCTCAACATTCAGGTCCTACCACTGCTGTTGTTCCTGCTTAATCCTCGGGATGACTCAGAATAGTTGCCACAGTGCAATATTAGTTTGCTGTTTCTTTGCATAAAATGTTTTGTGTTGCACACCAGGAGAGTAAACAGAGTAACTCTCACTTTTAAAGGTGGAAAATGAGGGCCTGGGGAACCAAAAAAATGTCAGTCTGGAAAAAAAAATAGCACGAATTATTAAACTATCTGTTTATAAACACCAGGAGAACTATAAAATGATTTTAAAAAAGCTAGAGTGAATGTCAAGAACACATTGTACCCAACCCAAACTCATTTCCCTCTTTGACAGGATGAGTGGGAAAGCAGGAGGTGGTAGATGTTGGATGTCTTGATTTCAGTGATGAGAAACAAGGGAAGTGTGGTTTCCAGGAGCTTTTGAAAAGGTGTCCCAACAATCTGTCCTCAGACTGAGAGCACACATTGCTGCCGGGCTCCTCAAGTGGTCCATCCTGCTCAATATTTCCATTCATCATGTTATGACCTAAAGTAAAGCCTCAGAAACATGCAGGTGGCCTCAGTTAGGAGGGTCCTACCCACCAAGGAGGGCAGGACGTGCCCACAGACACAGCAGAGCTGGGTGTGAGCAGGCAGGGCCGAGAGACAGGATGCTGGTGGGGAAGGGGATGCACTCCCCCTCCAGGCTTACAGAGCTGTGCCAGACCAGCGATGTATCATCAGCCACATACCCCTACAGACACACCCTTAAGGTGTTCAAGGTGTGAATTAGGGTTAGCTGTCAACCTAACCTAATTTGAAATTAATCAGTGAATCCACCTTTCACTGCCTTGACAGCTTCTCTGGCACTCTCTGCAAGGGAAACATCTACTGAAAATAAAAGTATAAAAACCCCAAGATATTTAACACTGGCTGTCAGTAATATCTTATTTAAGCAAGACAATGTGTCCACAGCCCTGTCCCATGCTGTTATATATTTCAGAACAGTTAGCAATAAATATCTGACTGTATGTTTAGAGAAAGCGACAGCAGCTGGGAACATTGACAAGCGAGCTCCATTTCCCTGTTATTTACTGTTCAGCAGAGGTATTGATAAGAGAGCTAGAGGGAGGATGCACATTTCTCTCCATCTGCTTTATTATACCACTGTAAGGCACAGCATGAAGGTCTCTGTAGAGTCAAGTGGAGAAAATAATAACTAGGTTTTAGATGAGAAGGAATTTAACTTGCATTTCTTCCATCCCAAACTGATCCCACCGTACCTTTCAGAAAGGTGGTGTCACATATGGAAACCTTCTGCCAGACCTTTTTTCTCCTCCTCACCTGAGCCACAGGATAATTCGATCCCTTCCCATGGGCTTTCAGATTCTCTTCCTAGTTTAGGTATTTATTAAAGACAAAGTCAGTCTGACACCTGAGACAAGTGGTGGGAAGTCAGAGGGGAGATATCTGTCTTCTCTACAGGGAAGCTTGTCCCAATTTTCTAGAGCTGAGAGCAGTTCAAATCTCAATTAAAACACTTTATTAGTGTGCAGGAGGGGAAAGCTCATCAGCCAGCAGTGAGCTGGGTACCCCAGGGTGAGATGGTGGAGCAGCACCGTGAGCGAGCAGCCTCTGAGTCCCTCCTCTCTCCAGTGTCCCCACAGATCACCTGGGTCTGCATCCAGAGGCAAGGGACAAAGACCTCAGTGCAGCCTTAAGTTCCAGGGATTTTCTACAAAATTCTTCTGGGAAGCTGGTCTGTTGGGGCACGAGCTGACGATCCAGACCCCTGCCTTGGTCCTGTCTCCACCTGTGGGGCAGGACAGGGGCTCCCTGGGACTTTTCCAGATGGAGGGAAGGACACTCGATCTGCCCTGTAAATTACAAGCCTCTGTCAGCACTTTTGGTGTAGCTGCAGTCTTTAATTACAGTTTTCAATTTAATTTTTGAAGTTTTATTCACAGCTAGAAAAATACCATTACCCTCATTTCACAGCTACAGATTAACAAAATTGCAGTGAAGTTCTGGGAAACACAGCAGGAGATCATCTAGTTCTGAGGCAGGAAGACATCCCAGAGTCAGCACAAAGTACCACCAGGCTTCATCTTTGTGACCTGCTCTAAAAGAGGGGTAGCAAGAAAAAAAAGCAGTGCTTTTCCCAAAAGGAGCATTCCCCACAGGATATGTGTGATGAGTAATCCAGGGAAGATAGTGGAATGTCTTGTGTACTATGACCAGGTTTTTACCTCACCAGGTATTTTGCTCGTGTTACTGATAGCACCTTAGGGCATTGGAATGGGAAGAATTCAAACTTTGCTTTCACTGCTTACTCTGCTGACTTCCTTATTCATATTTAGGTGTGTCAGCATCAGCTTTGCTTAGCATCCATATTCATTTTAATTTCACGTTGCTCTCCCCTTGCTCGATGCCATGCTATTTGCAGAAAGAATTACCCACAGCCAGGCCAAACACACTGTTGGGCAATGAAGATGTTTCTGTGCCTGTCACATTTCAAACTTGCTCTCACTCACCACAAAACCCACAGAAGGAGGATTACACTGGAAGGAAAAATCAGCGGCCACAGCCCAATCATTGGCTCACAGTAATTTCCTCCCATCAGTTCAGCTTCTTACCCTCACTGTATTTTAAGAGTGTATTGGGGAAAAAAAAGGGGGAATCCTCCAGGGATCCTCCTCTCTGCTTTCATCTGAGCTAGATAACCTCCAGCAAAGGGAGCAATCATCTCGTCCCTGATTTTCCCGCTTTGTGGACAAATCAGAAAAGGGATCTGCTGCTGAGCACCCTGGCTTAGGCTGCTGTTCTGTTAAAAGGCTCTTAGTGACCACTAGGTGGGGAGAGAAACTTATTGTCCTTAAATCCCATGGAAAATACGCAGGCAGCACGGTGTGCTCTCACTCCAAAAACTCACATTTAACCTGACCTTTTCCCTCCCTTCCCAGATGTGTAGTGGGGCCATGAGCTCGATGTCATTAGAAGAACTCTCAGTATGATCTGCAGGTTTCATTTGTGATCTCTAGCTTTTCTGGACTCTGTTGCAATCCCTGAGATATAGGATCTTAAATTTGTTGATGGTGTGGGACTAAGTTTAATATTATGTACAGGAAATGTTGGGCCAAAGTAATTTTTAGGGGTGAGTTCCTTACTGACAGATTTATTTGGCAGAGGGATTTGGACTATTGTGTACTTCTTCAGTTATTAAATGGAAGGTACTTTCAAAAATAACTGGGTTTGCAACTTGTGAGTCCTAGGAGAGAATGGTCAAATTCCAAGAGCTTAAGAAAGATGTCTGAAGAGATGCAAGACGTGAATTATCTCTCCAGTTATCTCAGAGATGCCAACATTCCCTCTTTCCAAAGATTCAGTCATCTAAATTCTCATTAGATAAGTACTCACAGGGGTGCCTGGGGTCTGTGGAGGGGTGGGTTTCCCTAAAGAACCATCAACCCTTCTCCACTGGCAACCAGAAGCCCCAAGTCAGCCACTTTTATGAGCTGCACTCAACTGGCTGGCACGAATGTGAGCTTGTGTGCCTAAATGCACCAAGGAGCCTCGCAGTGTTAGCTCCAGACAGAAATGCACTTCACCCCTTTCCCATGAGGACAGACACAGCTGATGAAGGTGCCGTGGCCAGTCCCCACTCACACCCAGCTGGCTTCTTTAAACCTAGGCTGAGAGCGCGGCTGCAGCACAAACACGTCCTCAGAAACCCGACCTCCTGGTATTTGCTTTAGAGACAGAACCAGAAGCTCTCCTTCTCACTTTCAGCCTGAGCTGAGAACTACAACAGCACCCACAAACAACTGTGGTTGCTATAAAAATTGTCTCTTAGTCACCTTTCAGTAGCAAATACCTTGAAAGCATTTGGCTTCAGTAGCTGTAAGCTTCTCACTTCATGCCTGGTAGTAAACAACATTATCCTTCAAACAAGATGTGAAGGTTGCCATGGAGCTCCCAAATCTTTCTGGTCCAAGAGAAGTTAATGTTTCAACTACAGCATTTTGATGAGGATATTCTGTGTGGTCTTTTTCCTCCACATTCCCTGATAGAAGAATCATTACCTATGACCAAATAAGAGAAGCACTTGGCAGCTACTGCACTCATCTACCAAGTTCAGCTTAATGTACTTCCAAGAGGAACATCTGGCCCTGTAATTTTGCTCCTTGGCAATGCAGCTGTTGTCTGCATGGCTGGCTACCCCTCTCTGCTGGCAACTGTGAAACTGCACTGGGGTTTGCTTTGGACACAGGCTTTATGATGTCTGGGTGTTCTTTGTCCTTTCCTTCTCCCCAAAACTGCCTACACCTAGGAGTGACTTTGCTTTGCAAACAAATGCAAGGTGCAGTCCCTCAAATTTCACCTCACTGCAGATGGAAGCAGCTGGGGAAGAACAACAGCATGGGCCTATTTACCTACTCAGCAGAATTAGCAGCAGGTGTTAGTGAATTTAACACCCCACCTGCAGTTAACAGGCACACATCACCACATGTGCTGCCCCCATCCAAGGGAGGAGAGGAAAGGACTCCAGTCTCAATCACAGGCCGTTTTATGGAAGCTTTGCTGAGATCTTAAGTGAATCTGAGACATAAAATAATGAGTTTTCAAGGGAATTTAAATGTCAGATTTGTCTGTTTAACAATAGTAAAAATTTAGGATGTACAGGTCTCAGGTCACCACCATTAAATCTGCAGAAGGGAACCCAGCATTAATAACTACATAAATATATACTCTGCTTAAACACAGAGGAAATGGCATGAACAAGAGTATGGGGAGGTTTAGGGAAAAGTTTTTCTGCCAGAGGGTGTTTGGGCACTGGAACAGGGAATTGACCACAGCACCAAGCCTGACAGAGCTCAAGAAGAGTTTGCACAATGCTCTCAGACATGTGGTGTGATTCTTGGGGTGTCCTGTGCAGGGCCAGGAGCTGGACTCCATGATCCTGATGGGTCTCTTCCAAGTCAGCATATTCTGTGATTCTCTCATTCTACGCTGACAGCTGTCACTCAACTGTCCAGTGCATTCAAATCTTTTCAGAAACAATTCAGATTTTACAAAAGACTCGTAAGAAGAACATCCCAGAGAAATGCCCAGCACTAAAACAATCAGAGATTTTCATCTATGCTGGAGGAGAAACTCTTAGGCAGAAGAACCAAGGTCTGTGCTGAGAAAAGGTGAAAATGTCAGTAATGTGGCAGTTACCTTTAAAGCCAACTTTGTTTCGGGAAAAATCAGCCTCACAAGGGATATGTGAAGCAAATTGGTTAATATTCTATAATCACAGAATCATTAAGATTGGAAAAGACCTCTGAGATCACTGAGTCCAACTGGTAACCCAGCAGCACCCTGTTAGCCCTGAACCATGTCCTGAGCCAGCAGAGAACACTGAATGATGTCCTTGTGTTGAGCATCACACCCTTCCTCGCTGAAGGGGGAGTCTGCAAGATGGGCAACAACAGGAGAAAAGACAGAATAGACTGTAAATTACTGAAGAAAAATGTATCAATAAGGAGATGACAGAGTCCTTGATTGTAGCAACCAGATCATGGCTGGAATTTGGGGTAAAGCCAAGATACTCCATACAAATGAAGAAGTATCTTCCAACAGAGCACTTCTAGTTCATCAAGGAAAGGATGAAAGGAAATAACCTTGTTGAGGTAGAGCATACACTGGGTGAGCACTGCCTTCAAATTTCATTAGGGTAAGGGACCCTGAGACAAAACCCAAGAATTACTTTGCAGCAGTGTGCTCCCCCAGAAATGGGCAGAGCAGGAGCAAAGTGCTCACAAGAGCACTGAGAACAGGGTTTTTGTAGAAACAACAGAAAAGCCCACCTCAGAAAATGTAAGAATTCTCCATCAACTAATGAATGAAAAAACAAAACCTTTCTTTTAAATTATTTTGGAGGTGACAAGGCAGTGTTCCCTCAGGAACAGGGACATAAAGGGTGTTAAAAGTCCCCTACCTGCCTGCTCCACAGAGAGTGGGAGCTTGGATAGACCACAATAACAGAGCTCAGTAGCTCAAGGTGACACAAACACTGTTTTTAAACTCTAATGTTCCCACTTTAGTGCTCCATGTTTTTTCTATCAAAGAGTTGGAGCAGTTCCCCAGGATCCAAACCACAGTTGGCCTCTGACGCTTGGAATAACCTTTTGAGCAGATAAACCCCCCATTTTCTGTCAGGTACAGCTGAGTGTTTGTTACTGCTCCCTGGTGAGTTGCTATGAAAACCAGTGTCAAATTAATAAAAGCCTTAGGAAAAAAATGTCACAGGGTCAGACACTGCTCCATATTTGGGGCTGTTAATTACAGAGAGGCAGGAGGGGCTGGGATTTCACCTGCTGGCTCTCTGCTCACCGCGACTCGTAAAACAGAAAATGCCTTCGCGGCTGGACACGGAGGTCAGCTGTGGGAAGAGAGAGAGAAGGAGAAGCAAATAGCTTGTTAGGGTTTGAAAGCTCAAGTTCTCCCCCTGCATCTTAACAGCAAAGCTGTGTGTATGCACAGTGGGAACAGCAGCTGTGAGCAGCTGCCTGTTGTGAGGAGTAACCTCGTGGTTATGGGAAATTGCTTGCCCCACAAGATCCGTCCTGCTCGGATGTAAATGTGGTTTCTACACTCTGGAAGGAAGAAAAGGAGGGATATGATTGTGCACCTGAGAAGATCTTATGGATGCTAGCTTTGGAGCAGGCTGCAGGCCCATGGCCTCTCAGTCCTGCCTGAGAAGCTAGCCTGGGAATTTCATAGGAGGATTTCAAAACAATCCTCAGAGACAGAAAACAACTGCCAGGTGCTGTTTGTCTGTCCTCTTGTTTTCCTTGCAGGAGAAAGTCAGGGGGGTAGTGAGCCCCTGACCAATGATGGTGATGTAGCACTTTGCTAACCAATAAGAGTTTCTTTTCTGTACCTTCCACATACCAGTCTATAAAACAAGCCTGAAGCAATAAACCAGGGAATTCCTGAAGTAATAAACTAGAGAATTCTCATATTGAAACTGCCTTGAGAGTTTATGTCGTTCTTTATAGCCATTCCCAATCAGAACGACAAGATCTGATATCTATATTGTCATATCTTTTTGTATTCCAAGCCCATTTTGAACCTACTCTTCTGAAACCCCAAAATTTGCCAGCTTGTTGGTTCCTAAACTGATTTGTGCTGGCTGGGAGCCAAGGGACTTGCCAGCCAAAGAAATTTAGCTACAGGAAGTGTCCAGACTTAGATTTTGTCTCTTGGGGCATAGCAGCAGCAGCTGGTAGGAGCTGTGTGATGCAAAAAGTTCATGCACAAATTCAAGCCCAGTCAATGGGATGGTCTCAACAGAGAGAGGCAACAACAGGAGGATGAAAGAGCTGAACTAAGGAAAGGCCCCTGTGTCATCAGGTGTTCGTTGCTGATGTCTTCACAGTCTTTAATACAGCTGGGTAGGGAGAAGGAATGTACTTTCCTAAAGGACATTTCCAGGCAAACATCTCTGCTGTAACAGAGAGAAGCCCTGACCTGAGCCCTGAGAACTGTCTGCTGTGCTTGAGTGGCAGCAGAAGGACAGTTTACACAGAAATCACAGAATGACAGAATGGTTGGGGTTGGAAGGGACCTCAAAAGCCATCTAGCTCCAACGCCCCTGCCTTGGGCAAGGACACTTTCCATTAGACCAGGCTGATCAAAGCCACATCCAACCTGGCCTTGAACACCTCCAGGGATTGGAGAACCTGTGGCTACAGGTTCTTTGGGCAACCTGGGCCAGGGCCTCAGCACCCTCACGGTCAACAACTCCTTCCTAGTATCTGATCCAAATCTCTTTCGGTTTGAAGCCATTCCTCCTTGTCCAATCATGCTCTGCCCATATAAATAGTTCCTCTCCAGCTCTTCTGGAGCCCTTTTTGGTACTGAAAGGTCACAGTATGGTCACTCCAGAGCCTTCTTTTCTCCAGGCTGAACAGCACCAACTCTCTCAGCCTTTCCTGGCAGCAGAAGAGCTCCATCCCTCTGATCATCTTCATGGCCTCCTCTGGACTCAGTCCAACAGCTCTACATCTTTCAGTTTTAGCACCTTACACTCAGTCCTTCCCAAGTGCTGCAGAGTAGCAGGTCCCACAGCAGGAAATTCCCATAAACAGCTACTCTGGCCCCCAGCTCGCACTCAGAGCAACCTGCTTTAGGCACAGCACATGACTCCAAGGCATTTATCTTAGCCAGAGATAACCAGTGGTCACGAGTCAAGGGCATGGGCTGCTATTTCTGGCAAGCCTAGAGCCTCACACATCAGCTGGACAATACTTCCCCTTCTGGTTCCCCTACTGTCCCTTGCACCTTTGGCCTGCAAGAGGCTGGAGCTCCGAGTGTCCCTGTCCCTCTGCACAGTGCTGGGTGTGACAGGAGCGTGTTCCCCCCACCATCCTCAAAGCACTGCTGGGTGCAAACCCTGCCAGCACAGAGCCACTGGAGCAGGGGCCACGGTGGCAGGAGGGCATTTCAATCAGGATATTATGCAAACATTGAATGAGAACACAAACCAGACCTTTTACGGTAATAAAAAAAGCCCTGGTTAAGTTTTCCCTCGTTTCCACAAGCATGCACTCACCCCAGTTCCATCAAAAGCAAGGCAGGCAGTGACATGGTTGAGTGCTGAAAGGCTGTTGCTCTGCTATTCACGGCATGACAAGTCGCAGAAAGAGCTGTCACATGAACCCACTCTCAGATGATTTCCCAATGGACTGTTTTCCAGTCCTCCTTACCTCAGCACAAATTTGGAAAAGGACTGTTAACAGAACCTGGTCAAAAAAGTTGGGAAATATCGTGAGGACAGAGTTCTGAAGAGCTTGGCAGCTCCTTTTCTGGGAAAACCTATAAAGTAAGTTTATTTGTGTTATTCCATGTATTTCACTTTTTTTTCCCCTTTCTTTTCTTTATTTTTTTTTATTATTTTTCACCAAAAATTAAAATGTAGCCCAAAATTATCCTGGTGAAATTGAAAGAGGCATTAAAATGGTAGCAATCTAAGCAGTACTTCCAAACTGACAAAAAAAAAATTAACAGCACTCAAGACATCTAAGAAAGAAGAGAAATGTATGCAAGCACCATGCCACTATTCAGGTATTTCATGAATGGCTTTAAATGGGGATTATAATTTGTAATGGTTAACCAATAGCTAAAGTAGAAAAATTGGTTCCAAAGAGCATTTTGAAAGTGGATGAAGCTCTGAGGATGAACTACAGGAAGGACAAAAAGGAGGATTTCAAATGTGTGACAGGCTGAAATGAAGCCTCTTACTCCTGCTGTTCATTTGCAAACTAAGGATAGGGCTGTCACCCATGACAGAGGGAAAGTCACAACATATTCCAGGATTGCAGCCTTTCTAGGGCTGAGAGATCTGCAGAGAGGACAGGGAGGACTGAAATGCTCTTGGAAGCCATCTGCTTTCTTTGCTGTTGTGTACCTGAACAGCACCTGCCCCGTGGTTTCCTGGCTCAGCTGATGATGGTGATGAAGGCTGGTGGGCTCAGGACTGAGTGTGGGAGCCTGGCTGTGCTTCACCCCCATCACAAGCCCTGCAGCCCAGGGGATACAGAGGAGTTGCTCTGGAGGGTGTGACCACAATGGATTTCTGCAGCTCTGTGCTTGGGTGCCCAGGTGGGAAAAGACAGCAGTGACTGGAGGAAGGCTCCACAGCTGGGACCCCTGGCAAATCCAGGGCAAGACATGGCCACAGGGCTCAGATGAGCACAGAGGGCTTCAGGAAAAGCTTTTCCAGGGAAATCTTCTACTGGATGATGCCTACTGAGATCAGGCTGTGTCTGCAGATTGTCTGCCTGAAAATTGGGGGCTGTTCTGCTCCTGCCAGAGATGAGCAAAATCCATCACAGAAGTCTGAAGTGTAAATTACTGATGCTCATCAGAGGCTTGTTGTCTTCAAGCCAGTTTGTCTAATATTTTGCTTCATTTGTGAAATAAACCCACTTGGTTTGAGATGTTTGTTCATCTCCACTCTGCACTGATCCCCTCCTGAGAGAGGCTTCTGCCCAAAATCCACCACCACAGGCAAGGAGGAGAAATTATATGCTCTCTGCATATCAGAAAATGTAGAGTTCATCCCAATGCAACCCAAATTATCAGATCTGATGCCTGCAGGGTGAAAATCACAGATACAAGAAAGAAAACTGATCTTTCTGGCCACTTCCTAAAAGTTTGCTGTAACAGCAACCTGTTGCTCTGACTATACCTGTTGTAATCTGACTATTACCAAATATCTCCTGAAAACAGTAGAAAAGTTATGTTGGAGTTAAGCTCAGTCAATAATATTTCACTGGGAATGGATCCATATATTATTCACTGTAGTTGTCTCCATTACATCTGTTTAATCAAACAAAATTGGAAAATCTTAGGAGTCAGTTTTGCCCACTAAATCTCCAGAGGTGTCACCAGTGCAAAATACACTGCCATGAACCAGGGTTGGTCCCAAATGCTCCTAAAATAAGGAAAAGAACCTGCAGGGATCCCTGCCATTCAATGGCAGGCACTGGGAGCAAACCCAGAGAGCTCTGAGATGGTGGCTAATGTCCAGCCAGGCTCATTTTACATAAATGTGCCACTGTGGGAGAATAGGGAGCATGGAAAGGGAGCCCTGACCCTTGCAAGCTTCACAGGGCTGTCTCAGCTGATTGCAGCCCAGTGCAGAGCACAGCACCACTCTGCAGGATTCAGCAGCCACAGATCCCCCAGGATACATTATACCTGAATTTCACAGAAGGCCACCGCTAAAAAAGCAGAGCTTCCTCCTGAGAGGTATCAGCGCCCTCTCAGAGAGGAATGAGCCAGACAGTGACAAGAAAGAGGAGGCACAGATGGGTGAAGAGTTCCTAAATCAGCCTGAGTGTGCCATGACTGCCCACCACGGTGTGTCTGCAGGGCTGAGACTGCTGCTCCTGCCACACACATCAGCACAGGAACACTGACAGCTGCATTACCTGCAGCAAAAGCCCTGCTTCTGACTGTTTTCCACTCTCCCTCCCCCTTTCACTGTATGCTCAGCTATTTGTAGGTCCTGAGGCTTTGACCTAAGGCTTTAACCTTAAGGCTCATGTGATTTTTGGACATTACAGCAGCCTAGGTAGGGTGCCTACGTTGCTCACTCATTTTACCACCACAGACACCTTTAAAGCAAAAGGATGATTTGGCAGTGCAAATAAAACCTAAAATTCCTACAAAAGGAGCAAAGTAACCCACTGCTGCCAGCACTTCTCCCGTAATTCTCATCACTCATCACTTGTGGAAAATCAAGCTGTCCCTATAGCGAGAGCTGAGGAACGTCAGCCAGCAGAAAACCAGTGCAGAGGGGGAAAAAAAGAGCAGAAGAGTTTTCTATGCATTTTCTCCTTTTAAAAGCTCGTTGCCAGGTTAGACCATGGGTGGCAATCAGTAATTTGGCTTAGTTGTGTCATGGGCCCACACCCTTCAAACAAGGCAGGAGCCTTGCCCTGAAGATCAGCAGTATAAATAGACAGGAAAAAAAAAGGATTCCTCATTCCTCTTTCACTGATGAGGGCTTTGCTTGGATGATCCACTCCTCTTGTGCCAGTCTGAGCAGCAGGTTTGGAAATGGTGCTCCTGGGTTTCACTGCAGTGCTCTGGCACAGGGCTCTGCTGAGAACAGGCTCAGCAAGGAGACACCACATCCAAATTGTGCCATCCCTTTGCTTGCCACCTTGGTCCTCCTCCCGTCTGCCTGCTCCTGGAATGTGGAGGCAGCAGCAGCCTTCTGCTTATTTTTGAGCGGAGGCAGAAAGATCACATGAAGCAAAAAAGCACATTCCCTTCCTGGAAGCAGCCTGCTCCCTTCTTTCCAAGAGAGTAAAAACTCTGCATGAATGTTTTATGAATCAGACGTGTGTTCATTTCAACGATAAAGCCAGCTTGGCAATTTGGGCTGGAAAGGGGGAAGCTGCAAACCTACAGATTCCAGCTGGCATGTTTTTAGACACGAACCTCTTCCCCCATTGGAAACATTACATTTGGACCCATCTAACTTGGGGAAGTTTCTCTGCTTTTAAAGAAATTGCAGATTATGTCCCAAGCGTTATCAGAGGTGAACAAAACAGATTTGTCCCTGTAATGACTTCACTGAGCACCTGCACACACGGCACTAATTGATCACAGTGTTGGTGCTCTCAGTGCTGCTTGATTTCCTGATTGCAGCCCTTTTACATTCCCAGCAGTCCACCATCTGCAGAGGAAAATGCCATTTCGAGATGCAGAAGAGGCATAGATGAGGTTTCTCTTTGTTTAACCTCCTGCTGTACTGCCCAACCTAAAATAAATGTAATTTAGGAAAAAATCTCTGTGGAAAACATCATAGGTAGGGAGAAAGAAATTGACTGAAGTGTTGTTTTTTTCTGCTATGCTAATCCCAGGCTGAATTCTTACCTAAGTCCACTTCTCCCCACTGAGACAGGGAGAGGTAAACAGCTTTTGAGAGAAGAGAAGAGAAGAGAAGAGAAGAGAAGAGAAGAGAAGAGAAGAGAAGAGAAGAGAAGAGAAGAGAAGAGAAGAGAAGAGAAGAGAAGAGAAGAGAAGAGAAGAGAAGAGCCATACAAGAACACAACTAGAAATCAGAGAAGGCAGAGGAAACAACCAGTGATTTTTCTGGAAGGAAATGAGAGAATTCTGATGCAAACAGGGAGAATATGCACTAGGTGCAGATATTCCAGTATCCAGAGGGAACTTTCACACCTCCAAGGAAAACTGATCCTCAAAGTCCAAATTCAGATACCTATGAACAGAAACAACTGGAAATGCAGACTCTGGGTAGGTCCCCCCAGCTGACACCCAGAGCACTGTCTGCAGTCAGTGATACAGAATTTACTGTGAGGTAACAGGGAGCACAGTCTGCCCTCCCTGTTCACACACACACAAGCACACAACGTGAGCAGTTCTCATTTTACAGCAGCCCCCTCTGGGAAGCAAGAGGGTTCTCTGCTGGACAGGACATGGAATTTCCTTTGCTTGACCTCCTCTCCCAGAAGCCTCTTGTTTTATTAGCTCATCTTTGCAAGGGGAAATCCAATGGCACTAATTATATCCATGGCAGCAGCTGGAATCAGGGAACCCCCACTGGTGGCATGGACCACCACGGTGGTGGTGCTGGTGGCAGCTGCCTGGTGGGGTGGGATGGCTGGGGAGAGGCTTGCTCTCTCTCCACAAGCCTCAAAGCTGACTCTCAGCACCTGCCCATCAGCAAGATGCCTCTAAAAAAGCTTCACACAGAGCACTTCCACCCCTCTTGTGGTCACTGTTAAACTATCCTGTTTTTTTCTCCTGAATTTGCTGCTTCTGCTTTTCAATATATCAAATTCACTTGAGGTCTCAATGAGCACTTCATTGGGGTGTGAGGCTGATGGATGGGGCTGACAGCAAGAAAGGGGAAGATAAGATGGAGGGAATAAGGATAAAATGTTCTCATTTAATTAAATCTTAGCACAATGTGGAGGGTCATCCAGGCAACCCCAGAAAAAACAGGCACCAGCCCAATATCTAAGACTGGAGGTGAGAGATATGATGATTGTGGGGATGTCTTAAAGTCACAAAGATTTTTTTACTGCAAAAGGCTGGCTCTTACAACAACATAGTCCAGACAAAGTCCTGAATTTGAT